TTTCAGCTTCTTGTGAGGTGCGGGCAGTGGGAAGAGACGAGAGAGAGCTTAGTTTCTGACTGGGCCGCCCTCCCTGTGTGGTGGTGTGTGCTGTTTGTTGCTTTGTAGATATGCTTAACAAGCAGGACTGTAAGTACGGGGATAACTGCACCTTCGCGTACCACCAGGAGGAGATCGACGTGTGGACAGAGGAGAGGAAGGGGACCCTCAACCGTGACCTCCTCTTTGACCCGCTAGGTGGGATCAAGCAGAGCAATCTCACCATTGCCAAGCTCCTGAAGGAACATCAGGGCATCTTCACCTTCCTCTGTGAGGTACAGAGCTAGGGGGAGGGAGCAGGCACCCTTCATCGAGTCCTCAGTGTGCATCTGGACCGTTGCTATGTTCCAGCCGGTGCCCTGCTTCCAGAAGGGCAATGAGCAATAGATGTGGTAGTATAAGAGGATGCAGATACAGTTTCCCTCCTTACCCCTGCAGCTAAATGGGGCGCACAGAGCCACATGAGGTTTAACTGCCTGTCTTTTCTTCTATCATGAGATATTGCTTTGAAGTGTAATTTTATTTTTTTAAGTCAGAACCCCATAAGGCAACAACTTCCCACCTGGTATACACATTCCTGTTATCCTGCTATAAGCCACTGCTGAGCCACTGACTCAATCAGTGAAGGAGCGACTCTTTCTCTCTTAACGCTCTGCAGCAGTGATTTCCCCAGGCTGGCAGTGTTAGATGCAAAGGGACACGTTCTCTTGCTGTGAACTGGCTGTTCTTTCATTTCTCCCCATCGTTTCCCTTGTTCTTACTCTGATGGCCAACTGGGAAAGGATATGTGGGTCTGACCAAAATTTTTCCAACCACAATGGAAAATGTTGTTGAGAACAAGCCAAAAATGTTATCCTGAAACTTTTCCAAAAATACACTTACTATATTTTAAAGCCCTACCACTAAGTTTTCACCAGGCTTGTTCTAACTTTGAACATTAGAATAGGTTGGCTCTGGTTCTTCTTCCCCTTCCAAGCAAAATGGCTCTGGTTCACTTCTCTCTAAGATTTTCCCAGCATGCTAATTTTTTTCTTCTCAGATTTGCTTTGACAGCAAACCCCGGATTATCAGCAAAGGGACCAAGGACACACCATCTGTCTGCTCCAACCTTTCTGCCAAACACAGTTTCCATGACAACAAGTGAGTGAACATCACTTGGGTTGATGGGAGCGATCTCTCACATGCCCAGCCAGTTTAACGCCAGGGCCCTGGTTTCTTTTTTTCTTTCCCCCTCTATGGGTTCCCATCATAGGGCAGCTCAAAACATGATTAATAGCACTGTGTGCTTCACTCTGCATGTTTGCTTCTGGTGCTGAGGGATTTGAGGCATGAGCAAAGCCCTTTGGGGTCAGTCTGAGTTTTCCATTGACTTAATTTGACTTTGAGTTTGGCTTTTATATAAAGGTCAAACCAAAGATCCTTTAGCTCTGGATCCTGCTTTTGACTGGCTGGTAACGAATGTTTAGAAAAATGAGTACAAGAAACATGTCAGGTACCCTAATACAACCCCTTCTGGCTCGTGGCAACTTGAAAGTTAAGGACTTGCTGAGCCGGATGAGTTGGTATTTTTGCTGCATGTTTTGAAATGTGTCTTACCTCTGAACTTGAGCAGGATGTCACCCATAGGCTGGAGAGATTGAAAATATCTACCGAGAGTTGCTACACAATGGGCAGGCAGGAGTTTGGTTTCCCCAGTGGGAGTTCACCCCTGCTAGCATTGATTTTTCTGCGTTCGTTGCCTGCCCAGTTGAACGCGTGAACGTCAGATGCAAGTAGGAAGGGGTGAAGATTCAGTCCACTGATGCTTCATGTGTCTTTGGCTTGGCTGCAGGTGTCTAGTCCATATTGTACGTTCCACCTCCCTGAAGTACTCCAAGATCCGCCAGTTCCAGGAGCACTTCCAGTTTGATGTGTGCCGACACGAGGTGCGTTACGGCTGCCTGCGGGAGGACAGTTGCCACTTTGCTCATAGTTTCATTGAGCTCAAGGTCTGGCTGCTGCAGCAATATTCAGGTGAGTGTTACTCTGGGTGCTGGGCTGGTGGTGCGTATACCTGAGTTTCCTCCAGCATGTGCATGGGACCAGTTGGGAGAGAAAAAGGGTGATTTGGGAGCACTGAGAAGCTGTCACTCACGTGTGCGTGTACTTCGTCTCCTCTGAGATACAGAGAAAGGGCCAGGGTGTTCTGTGAGATGATTTGCTCTTTGTCCCTTTACTGGTGCTACTGTAAATTGCAAACTGGGAAGCCTTTCCCTTGGGACTAGCTGCATAAGTCGTAGTGATTGTTAGGTGGGGCTGAATACCCAAAGGTGTTTTGGTGTTTAAATCCTGTGGAAGGCCCTAGGTAGCAGTTGTGCCCCTGGATGAATGTCTGGCCCAGTGAGACTCACAGAACACGTAAGTGACAAAGCAGTTATAAAAAGAAAGCTGTGCCTGTCCAGTTCCTCAGAACAAGTTCACCGAGAGTAGGAAATGACATAATACTTGGCCTTTCCCAAAAAGCCTTTGACAAACTGCCTCGGAAGAGGCTATTACAGAAATTATATTCAGGTCACTCATATGACGACACTGCTATATCCAGTAATTTCAGTCCTCTCTCTCTGACATGCTCAAGGATCTCTCCTGCTGTTGACTGAGTAGATGTTTTTGTTGGTCCACCCACAACGCTACTCAGATCTTTTTTCGCTAGGAGGTCTTGTTTAGTGCAGGACCCAGCATGGTAGTTGGAGTTCTTCAGCGAGAAAAGGTGTTACGAGCGTTTCTCGCCATTCCTTGCTTTAACTGGGGGCAGCTTCTTTCCTGTACTGTTCAAATGCCTGCCACTATAGTTCAGTGCGCTCCTCTGCCTCGGCTTGGCTTGTGAGTGACAATGATGAACAAGTAACAATTTGTGGCAAATGCCATCTTTTGCTCTTCCTGTTTTGCCTCACTCACTTGTGCCCACAGGGAATTAAGAAATTACACGACTTTCTCAGGCAGCATGTTGCCTGAGAGCCATAGGCCAGGATTGCTTCCCTAAATACTTGAGAGATTGCTTGTAGTGCTTTGGGCATCTTGCTCTCTTCCCCTCCCCAGGTACATAAAAAAGAGCTTCTTCCCTCCCTCTCTCTCCCCTCCTCTTCAGCCTGTGGGAGAGTATATAGGTAGATTAGATTTTTGCTTCTTGCCTTCTTTCCGTGAACGAGTGACTTCCAAAGGGGAAGCTGAGAAGATGAAGCAAATTATGAGTTTACTTGCAAAGGTGATCTGTAGGCCTTGTGTTTGTTCCCATCTTTTCTAGCAATGCGAGCACCATCATCTTTTTCCTTTTCTGCAGGGTTATATATATATATGTGTATATATATATATATATCTGTCTGCTCTCTTTGTGAGTTTTCTTTCCTGGGCTGGTAGTTTATTACCTAACTGTAGCCCTGGTATGGAAATAGAGATGAAAGGTAGCTGTGCCAGTCTCTAGAAAGGCTTTAACTTTGGAGCAGAGAGCTTGGCCTGGGCACCCTTTTCTCGGCCTGGGCACCCTTTTCCCTGAAAGAATAGGAAGGGGGCACCGTTCTTAGCATCTTCCGTTTCTAAGCCCGTGGGCTGCTGGGTTAGACAGCAAAACCTTGAGCTTTTACAAGGCATGTGGCTTTGTTCCTGGTGATAAAGGATTGTACTAGCAGAGAAAAGGTTCCCATGATCTGAACCTGTGAGAGGGCAGGACTGTTTCCTGGCTCACTGTGTCTGTTCACAGACATACCATACTATCTTCTTCCACCAGTAGGAACCACAGAGTCTTTGTCCTCACTAACAGTGTTGCAAAAGATGCTGAAGCGTTACAAGTAATAAACGCATGGGCCTTCTGGATCTCAGAGCATCTCTTTGGGGCTGTTCATGCTTTGTGGAGCCGGTGTGTTGGAAAACAACCTTTCATCTTTGGGAGGGTTTTTTTCCAACGACAGCATTTCTAGACCTTGTTGAGTTCATTTGGGTTTCTGGGAGCTGGAGAAGGCAGTCACATGCTCAGGACTTAATTTGAAATTAAGTCTCCTTTGACAAGAGCTGCATACAGTTCTGCCATTGGTTCTGCACCCCCAGGATCACGGCACAGGTGTGCAAAACAGAGAAGACGGAGGTTACTTTGGCCCTTTCCCTTTGAGATCCAGTGCCACATTTTAGCTCTCTATATGGTTTTCCCAGACTTGTAGTTTTTGTCCCCTAAGTACGGATCAGGGCTGGCCATACGTAGTCCCCCATGGCCTGAAATATACAGGCTTCCACATCAGGGATTGTCTGTGTGCCATGCCTCAGGAACACGGCACCTTAATAAAAGCTGTTAGCGAACACAACGCAAGTGACTTCACAGCCTCTCTGTGCTAGGGGAGCTGTATTAAGGCAGCCCTCAGAGCACCTCACTTGTTGACATCAGCTGACGGTTACAGGATACTTTTCAGTTTCTTTTGGCTGCCATCTCACATCTTTACAGCACTCAAATAACATGGCTTTTCTCTGACGGAGCCAGTCCATACCATGAGCAGCCAGAGTTTTTATTACTCTTACGTACTTTTCTCTTGCTTTGTGCACTGAGAATCCTAGTGCCCGTCTAGCTGGGTTTGTGCTGGCAGGGGCTGTTCCCTCAGCGCTTGATTTGATCAAGAGCTAATTCCTTAGATAAGCTCTGACATTTTTGCTTGTTGGCTGATGTTGCATTTCTGATTCATGAGACCTTGTAGATCTTTCCCTGCAGGTTATGTGCAAGCAGCTGTTCCTTGCTTGGTTTTGCACATTTTATCTTTCCTTGCTACCTTGGCACACATTGTGTTTGTCTTGATTGAATTTCAGATTTTCTCTCCACTTGTTGATTGGTGACACCCCCCCCCCACACACACACACACATACAGGCTAATACCAGCAGGGATTAGATGAGACTTCTGGGGTCTTGGAGAGGCTGGATATCTCAGACAGTGGGATATCTGTAATCTGCCACGCCAGTGGCAAAAATTTCAATATACAGTAGATAACAGTAACAAGCCATTGTCTTCAGAGCCCTATATGGGATCTGTTGATTTGCGTTTGGGGGAGAGCCTTGGTCAAAGTCTTGATTCCTAGTTAAGAATTAGCAGTGTTTGTGTCATTTGCATGCAGCCTGATGCCAGAAGCTCTGCGACCCTTCCCTCCCTCTCTTATGTTGCCCCAAGCAGGGTAGCTCAGTCATGTCTCTGCCTTGTTCCCAGGAATGACCCATGAAGATATCGTGCAGGAGTCTAAGAAGCATTGGCAGCAGATGGAGGCACATGCTAGCAAACCAGCCAACAGCTTGGTAAGACGCATCCAGGGTTTGCAGCCTGGTTTTGCTCCCTGCTATTCCAGCGCTTTCTCTCAATTTTCTTCCCTCTGTTGTGCCTGACCGGTCACAGGCAGACCAGGCTGGACATTGAGGAGGAAGATGGCTGAGAGCTTTCCTGTTTGCTGTGCTAGTGATGAGCTTTGTACCTGGTTTTACAGCGTTTCTTTCTGCTCTGTTCAGTGGTGGCGACAAGCCCCAAGGGTTGGGAGGCCAAGGCACAGAGAATGGTGCTTCCTGCCACAGCCTGGTAGTCAAACCAGGAGACTTTGGGGGCCATGGTCACACAGTGTGGACGTCAAAGAAGTCTTGCTGCCCTTTAGTGGCCAAGGGACAATATAGCAGTTTGAACGGTTCCTCTTAATAAATGACTCATGACATACAGAACTAATCGGAGCACAGGAGTGGCTGGAACTTGCAGCTTGCAGCTCAGGGGCCACCTGAGGCTAATCAAAGCTCTTAGTGACTCTTTGCCCGGAGAAGGCTGAGAGCTTTGTGTCTGCTTTGTGCCACCAGTCTCAGTGCGAGAGAGCATGCTGCTGGTTGCACCCTCTGGCACTGCCAAGAGCTTGCTCTAGAGAGATGAGTAATAAGCAAAGGGCACCTTTCTGCTCTCTTCCAACCTAGTGGCTATGGGTGGTACTGTCTTACCATCTTTTTCACTGGAGGAGATGTCCTCTAGTGTAGGAGCAGAGCCCGCGCAGTGAAGACGATGCCCAGCCCAGCCCTGGGGATGAACTGAAGCAGCTTTGCCATTAGAACAAGGAGTTTTCTATTCTTTAACTGCCTTCAAAAGATATGGCCAATGAGATGCGAAGCTTCATGCCTCCCAGCAAGCTCTGAGGTACAGGAGCAGTCGTCTCCCCTCCAAAGTGGTGGGAAAAGTGTTATGAATCCCTCTTGTTTCCACTTGACAGCTTTCTTTGGACTTGCAAAGGCCTGAGCTCACCACCCCTTGGCCTGAACCTTGTTGTCAGAGCGAGGGTGTTTCACCTTTGTTTGGGATCTCTCACCCAAGTGTTTCCTTTGCAGACAACCAAGAAGTCCAGCTTTTAAGCACCCTTGTGGAGGTGTTTTGCAGGATGGTGGTGTAAGCCACTCATGGCTTTTTTGGACTGGCAGTGTGCCAGCAGAAGCGTTCTGAAGGCTGTAAGGCACTGATGCTGGGGCGAAGCAGGTGTGAAAAATCAGCATGGCTTAGCCCAGTGGGAAAGACTCTGGTGACTCGCCCTGATGTTCCCAGTAGGCTCTGTGCCCATCTACTGGTTGTGCTGCATGAGATGGAGCCATCTTTGAAGCAATGCTCAGTGACCTATGGGCACGTCCCATTACTGCTCTCGTGGTCTGAAATGGCTAGGGGACAAGGTGCTGGCTGAGGAACAGGAAGCGGCAGCAGTCCAGAGCAACCAAGTTCTAGTCACCGAAGCTGTCTGGCTTCCTAAGCAATTTGCTCTAGCCTCTCAGGAAGCTGTAGGACTGATCCTGAAGGTATGGGGCAAGTTTCTACGGCCTATGTTATATGAAAAGTGAGCTCAGGTGATCTGAATGGTCCCTTCAGACAGAGCTGGCTAGCATCTCTTTCTAGCCTGGCATGGGGACAGAGGCAACTGTCTGCATTTCCACAGTGGAGAAAATTTTACTGTTAATCTGAAGCGGTTGGTGACAGTAGTTGGATTTATGTCAGCAGTCCCTTCCCCATAGGGAGCGGAGTCTAGTGACTGGTTCTGTCCTGCCTCCTGTGGATCTGCCTGCTTTTTTCAGAGAGCTCTGTCTTGCCATTCTCTGTGCATAGTCTGGGGATAGAAAAGATGGTTGGACAACTGTTTTCCTGTAAGCCTTCCAGCTTCAAATTCACCTTTGTCTGGAGGTGCTGCTGTTGGAAGAATAACTTAATTTCCTGAGGTAGGCCATTAATTCATTGTTTCATGGCTTTTACCCTACTCTCTTAACTTTCTGTGTGATGCCCTAAAGACCCAGAGATGGGGAATCTGCTAGGCGAAAGCCTGGAGACAGCAGAACCGTGCTGGAGAATCTTACCCTTCCTGGCTGGTTTTCACTGCTCTCTGGAGCCCATGGGAGCACTCCTATTGGGCCTGATCCAGGTGTACCGGAAGGACAGGGGAAGGTGAACAGTAGCTAGATGGGTTCTGAAGATTTGCTCAAGGGATGAGGATGGCATGTTCAGTGGTGCCAGCCGCAGCATTGCTGCAGTATCACAACTCATTTTCTCCTTTCTCTTCTCTGGTTTTATGCAGCTCATGGGGCCATGGTGTGTATCTGGAATAGCCTCCTGCCTAATACAGGCCATTGCCTGGCCCAGCAAGGGCAGCGGCATTCAGCAGAATAGCCTGTCGGCATTAAAAACCTCAAATATGGGACATGCTTCTGTGAGGCTGCTGTCCTAGACCCACGTAGCAAATTTGCTTCTCGGGAAGCACAAGGAGGAGGATTGTCAGTGTTTCTCTTGCATTGGTCTTGCTGGGTTAGACCTGGAAAATTGAAATGGGGGAACCCAGTTACTTTAGATTGGCTAAATGTGAATAATACAAGTCACTACTGTGTAATGCCTCAGCATTACAATCCTCTCCCATGGAAAGTGCTGTTACAAAGTACTGAATTTCTTTCCATTTCAACAGGGAAGCAAACTGCTGTTCAGGTTTATATAGACGCTCAGTTTTTTATATATGTTTGTTTTATATGTATTGATAGGAGTATCTTTATTTTTATATATTAACTGTAGTCTTAGTGAAAAAAAAAAAAAAAAGTCTCGCTCATACCTCTGCTAGACAGCAGGCCTTCAAGCACATCCTCTGAAGCACATGGGGGCTAGACAGGTTAGTACAGGAGGAACGAGGGTTGCATTTCTGACTGTTGGGGCTTGCACGGGGCGGAGGATCAAGAAGAGAAATGTCAGCGCCTGCTGCATCAGCCCACAAGGAGTGGGCAGAAAGCTATGGTTTCTGGGCCGTTTGGGCAGCGTTCAGAGTTCATGGCCCATGGCAACGTCTGGTTTCACCCCACAAATGCCTGTCAGTGCTGGACCGCGCTGTTGGCCCTTCCAGGGCCTCAGTTTGTGAAGAGGCAGTGCAGCAGCCTTGTTGGTGTGGTTGGAAAGGGCCTGCTGGTGGCACCGTTGGTTGGCAGCCAGGCTCTGGCATCGTGCAGGGAGCCGGATAGAGTCAGTCAGAGCCGCATATGTTTGCAACTGCAAACCATGGCTTTGGAATTGGCACGTACTCAGCCAGAGGGCTGGGCTCCGGCATGAGACATTGGCTTGCTGCCGAAGACCCTGGGGGCAGGACTAACGTGATCTGTTGAGAGACGTTTACTTTTGCCATTATTTTCTCCAGTCCAAGCAGGCTCATATGACTCAGAGTTTTCTCAGCATCCCTCCAGCTTTTGAACTTGGCTGTCTGGCAAAGACAACTTCCCAGGAGTACTGTAAAAGCAGAACCCTCCTTCCCACTGCCCCGTGTGATCTGCACCTGACTCGGCACCTTCCGGTCAGTGGAAGCAAAGTCCCTCCCAGGGATTTCGCTGCGCTCTGGCATAGCGGTCAGTCAGACTCAGTGGATTGGGGCACACAGGGGAGAAAAGAGGCAGATAGCATATAGGTACCCAGCAGCCATGATGGTGCGTGTCAGGAGACCTGCCAAGAAAAGGAAGATGAAGCTATTTCACTTGCTAAGCACCTGCCATGAAGCTTGCATCCAGTCTAACATGCTTGCAGGGCTCTCAGAGGAGTGTTTGGGAACTGCTGCAATGTAGGAGTAAACCCAGTGGCTGTGCATGAAGGAGGCAGGTATCAGAAGACTGTTGCGGGCAGTTGGGTGCCCTCAACTCCACCACATCCCTGGGAATTGAGGGCTTTTATGCTTCAGCTGACTTCCCAGAGCCAATGGGGGCTTTTCTGTTTTACCTTATTAGCCAGCTGCAGAACCCCCATCAAAATCGGCATCCGAATTAGCAATTTAAGCATAGAGAGGAAAGAAGCCCTCCCTCTAATGAGGGATATTTGCACCTAAGTACAGTTTGCTCAGTTAGGTGGCCAAGTAGCTCAGGCACCTCAAATAGTCCCCCAAGGACTCGTGGCTCCTTCAGAAAGCGTTTCAGAATATCTGAGAAGAGTTCTTGAAGTCGGAAGGTGTGAGTGGCTGTGCTGGGGCTGCTGCTTTCTGCAAAACATGAAGTGGAGAACTGCCATGCCAAAGATTTTTATTTATTTGGTTGCCATGGTGCATAGCTAACACTATAATGTCTGGCTTCATAACAAAGGGTGGTGCCACAGCCTGAGGCTCTTTTGCCTGGCTTCGTCTGCTAGAGCCTCATGTGATCCTGCCTTTACAAATACAGTCATGTAGCAGCAACAACAGCAGCTTTGATTTTCTCTTTACTCCTAATTCCCTGGAAGCATACATGTCCTGTGGTGACCAGAGGTTGGTATTACTCTCATGAAGACATGCATGGGGCTATTTTTGCCAGAATTTATGGAAAAGCAGCCCGTATCGTCAGGATTACCTGAGAAACACTTTCTTAATCTCTGATCTGTGGTGCCTTCTGGAGCCTGTTGAGTTGTAGAATAATTTTCTTTGGAGACCAAGTGGAGATTAAAAGCACTGTTCAAAGGCCACGTGTTTGAAAGAGAGGCACCCTGTGAATACATTTCTGGTGAGGCTTACTGCCTTCTGCGATATCCCAGGTCTCAACCCTGCTCAACCTGCAGCTGTGATGTGTTTTTATTGGTCATCAGCATTGGTGAAAGCTGTCAGATGAATTGGATCATGTGTCAGTTGCCAGCAGAAAGGTGGTCTTGCAAGTGAATAGGCCAGAATTGCTGGCACTTGTTAAGAGCGCTGATGGCTCTCCAGAAATGTCCTCTCGCTGAGCCATTTGGAGCAGTGATGGCCTCACGAGGTCAACAGAGTTAAAGTTCAACTCTCTGGTTAGTTTTTCACTGTGATGGAAGATCCTCTGTGTGTCACATCTACTTTTCCAAAAGACTGGGTCTAGAGGATGCAGAGTGGTAGCTGATAGCTTATGTAGCCTTACCTGGGAGATGATTTGATTGTGCACCATCCCGTGCTTACTGTTTTTCCTTTGCCATAGGATTCACAATGCTGCTAATCAATTAGTGGCAGAAGCCTGCTGCTTAGGGACATAGTTTGCCTGTCCGCTCTTTATTAGATGCGTAGGGTGAGAAGCCAAGGCATGGCAGCTGGTGTGGGCTGCTTATCTGGTGACAGGCAGAGCGCTGTTTTACTGGTATGTAACCTTTGTGCTTCACGGTCTGCTCAAACACCAGGATGTTCTTTTAGGCTGTGGTTTCTTGCTTGTACCCTCACACTCCTGAGCCTGAGGTCAGTGGCTGCCAGTCAGGTTTGCTATTTGGTTTGGAAATGAACTGGAGACATCAGCCATGTGGCAGTTTTAGACTCTCATGTCTTCTGATAGTGAGACAAAATGTAAATGACTTTCCAGAGATTTGCCTGGAAAATGCAAGGCAATGGTGATAAAGGATTCACTCTGTTTTCCCCAATTTGTTACGATTTATCCCAAAACAGCCTTTTCACAGGGACAGGGAGAAGGCCAATGAAGTTAAGTGGCCAAGAGAGCATGAAATATGTGAATCACAGGTTGCATGTCTGTCCAGAGATCATGGCTTAACCATGACTGCGTAACACAGTGCAGAGGATCTGTGGGAGGTGGAAACCTGCCCAGAAAGGGCTTTGAGGAGTCAGCTCTGAGGACCCAGCTCAGACTTAATATTTAGATGTAACATGAGCCTCTTGCTTCAAAAGCAGGAGGGTTGGATCCTGTGCTGTGGCATGGCCTGGCTTCCTCCTTTGGGTCCTCCTTTGGGCGCTCTCTACGGAGAGTGAGGGGAACGTGGATTGCTCTCCCTGCGGGGGAATAGGGCTGAAGCACTGGGGCAAGTCTCGCAGAGCTTGCCTGTACACGAAGAAACAAGGCAGGGGTTTTACAGCCAGGCCTGGTCAGTGTTTGAAGCTGCCGGGCTGACTGCACTGTTGGCCAAATGTCAAAAAACAAGAGATCTGCTGAAGCAAGTAGTGATTTTGCTCTGGTCTGATAGCTTGAAGGGCCACCAGCTGACACTGGCGAAGGAAAGCTCTGCCGTGTCACTGGGGAGACAGATAGCTGGTTGCTGGCACATGCGTATGCTGGGAACTGCTGTTCGGGGGGGGTGCAGCTTGGCTCTGTTCACCTAAGGTGGTGGTTGGTGGTTCTCTTTCCCAGGCTTCCACCCGGGCTCCCACATCGAGCACCTTTGACCTCCAGATGAAATTTGTGTGTGGCCAGTGCTGGAGGAACGGGCAGCTGGTGGAGCCAGATAAAGACCTCAAGTACTGTAGTGCCAAAGCCCGCCACTGGTGAGCAATGCAACCTTCTCTTCCCTCCAGCCCTCCTTAGGACCAGGAATTTCTCCCTGTATGTTCTCCAGGAGTTCATTTGGCCTTGTTGGAAGAGCCTGGGAAGTTTTCTGGCAGCCTCTCTGTGCTTGGGGTGTTTCTCACTTTAGCAAGCATTGCAGGTAGCTGTTTCCAGCTCTCCTCTTTGCTGTTGATATTTGTTGCCAGCGTTGTGCATGGTACATTGCAGCTAAACTGTTACTCTTGGCACTTTCAGTCTGGCTCCCGCAGTTCCCTTTTTTTCAGTTCTATCATTTCTTCTCAGCAAGATCACTAAGGTAGTTCTCTGCTCTTGTTTATACTCCTTGCTGTTTGAAGATGTCTGCCATGTTGCTATTAGTGATGATTCAAGGCATTCCACTTCCTTGTAAATTAGTTTCCTAAGGGTTTACAGGACTTATCTTCCCATAACCCAAGCCAAAAAAGCTGTCCAGAGTCTTATTGCTAATATAAGACCTGTAATTCAAAAGAGACAGAAGGAGCAGTTGCTGGAGGAAGTGAGTAGGGGAGCATTATTTCCTGGAAAGGGAAGCTAACACCTCTTTGTGCAACTGCTGAATAGAGCTGGGGGGGTTTTTGGCCAGGGTATCTCCTTCTGATGCCTTGCTAGTGCTGCAGAGGAATTAGTACTTACTGGCACCTGTTCATAAGACAGTGCTTGTCATGACTTGCATTTCCACTGCACCTTTCAAGCAGAAAATATTCCCAAATGTTTTTCATGGACTTGATTACACAAGAACTGGCTGTGTCAGAGAGTGGAATGCAGTTGTTTAGTACCCCACGGTAATGTCACGTAACAGTTGGAGGAATCTTTTTGTGGCTTTATGGGAAGAGATACCCCAGGAAATATGCGAGAAATAGTGGGATAAATCCTCCTAAAACACCCTTCTGCTGGCTTCTGTGCCACACACGTCAGAGTCTAGGAGCAGCCAGATAGTGATGCGGACAAGCTGGGCTAGAGAATTTGGTCACCTCTGAATAGTCAAGGGTCTCTGAGGAAAACAGAACCTTGTTCTATCCTTCCTTTTCCTTCTTGATTTATTCTCTCTTCTTTAGCTGGACAAAGGAACGTCGTGTCCTGCTGGTGATGTCCAAAGCAAAGAAGAAGTGGGTGTCTGTCCGACCACTGCCTTCCATCCGCAACTTCCCACAGCAATACGATGTAAGCCTCATGTCCTGCGTGGCCGGGTGCACCTTCCCCTTCCCTCCCAGCACAGTGCAGCACCTTGAGGGCAGGTTTCTTGTCAACCTGCTGGGAAGCAGGCAGGTGTTAGCTGAGGTGGGAGGCAGGAACGAACCGAAGGCAGTGAGATCACAAACACATCCAGCAAGAGGAGTGGAGCACAAAAAGGAGCAGGGCTTGTTTAAACCCCTCTGTGCGCGTACCTGAGCTTCTGACGCTGCTGATAGTGCAGTCAGCATCTCAAGAACTGGCTGGCGCAGGGTTTGGGAACGAGATTTAAGCCTCCCCTCGGGTCAGGGTTTCTCAATGTGGGTAAGAAGCAAGACAGAGCACTTGAGAGAAGCCGATCCCTGCCTTTACTGTGGCTGTTCTGCTGATAACTGTGAAACTTGCTCACAATGTGTTTTGAAATCAAAATTAAGAACTCAGCTAAAAGCCCACACGCTGTGAGGAAAACTACAGCTGTCCAACCCCAGCCCAGAATGTGGTAACTGATCATTTCTCTTGCCCTCTCATTTCCTTTCTCCCTAAAAGGAGAAAGCTGCTCTCCCTCCTACCACAAGGGATCTGCTGTCACTTAATCAATGTGCAGACACAAGGCCATGAGTGAAGCCTTGAGCGCTCTCCAGTTGCAGGCCTGTTATTAGAAGCTGGGAAGGGGAGGGAGCAGATTTGAGCAGGAGACAGGAGTCATTAGTCGCTGCTGAAGTAGGAGATAAGGCCAGCAGGTGAGTCACAGATCATGCAGCAAAGGCAGGTTGCCAGAGCTCCCACACAGCGCCGGCCGGAGAGGAACAGTGTTGTCTCTTCTTCCCAGTTGACATGGGCCAGCTGGTGTCCCCACTGCTGTCCTGCTTGATGACAGAAGTGGAGGAGAAGGGATGACAAGTAAACAGGATGCTTGGAAAGCTTCTTGTTTTTTCTAGCAATGAGGCTGTTGGGAACTGTGAGGCAAAATTGTAGTGTGTGTGCTTGTGGGGTCTAACCACCCCTTAAGGGCACTCTTAGCCGGGTTGGAGATAGCTGGAGAATGAGTCCTCTTTGGGGACCAGCAGGAGACAGTGTTGGGTCAATCCACTTGCGCCCTGCTCTCTCCCCCGGGACCGCTACTAAGCTAACCTGCGCCCCAGGAGAGGCCAGGTGCCAAACTGAGCTGCCTGTGTGTATATAGGGAAACCTTACCTTTCGTGTCATCAGGAGCTTCAGGAGAAGAAGCGTGAGTGGATGATGTATGACGTTTGCTACCTCTCTTGTGTGCAATTTCACACCCCTACTGGTTTTTTTGAACGCCTTTGAACTCCATCCCTCTAACAAGGAGGGTTTATGCAGACCCTGAATTTTGTTTTTTATCTTTTGACAGTTGTGTATCCATGCACAAAATGGCAGGAAATGCCAGTATGTGGGTAACTGCTCCTTTGCCCACAGCCCTGAGGAGAGAGAGATGTGGACCTTCATGAAGGAAAATAAAAGTGAGTGAGGGAAACATG